CCCCAAAACCCCAAAACCCCAAAACCCCTTAGTGAAGATTTAGGAGGAAACTAGGAATAAGAATTTGAAAGATAAAATAAATTAAAGCTTTTCAAATAAATAATACAAAAAGTATGAAGCTACAGCAAAAGCAGAAATCTAAGCATTGGTGTGCATGCCTGACTGCATTCTTCAGGAAGTGCTGCTGTTATTCTAAAGTAAACATTGGCATTTCAAGTAAGAATATTGTTTATCGAAGTATTATTAGATTCTAACGTTACATTAAACATTAAAGCTAAAATAACTCAGAGAGACTCAAGACTTAAAGCTTTGGATTCAGTTGATATAAATGAAGAAGGAAATGATCATTTAAATAACACAGCTAAATAGCTCATTGAAAAATCCCTTCAGAGCCAAAACCATATCAAACTATTACTTCCTCCACCATCAAGATAGTCTCTTTATACTGATTAAAATTGAATGGATGAGGAAGCTAAGCAAAAAGAAAAATAAGTTAATCTTAGTTTAGTGACAGGTGAGGATGAAAATGAATTTGCAAGAAATCTTTATGGAAAAAATGCTTTTGGTTTTGCTCTCGCACAAGATTTCAAGTTACCAGAGATAAAATTAGATAATAATAAAGGCAAATTTGAGCATGAAGAGTATGAAGAGGAAATTCGAACAACTGAGATGAATAGAAAAAGAAACATGAAAAAAAGAAAACCAAAAGCTAAAAAGACAAGAGCTACTCGAATTGACAATCATAAATTGAGGGAGCCACAGATTTGAATCAGGAATTCCTGAAACTAATAATATAAGCTATAACGATATATCTACTTATCAAATTTCGGACAGCACATAATCCACTGTGGTATATACTTGACAATTGGTCTGTAAATATACTAATTTACTAGAAATATATAGTAACAAGAATCTAGTTCCTTATCCTATGATTTAGAGTCTATTATTTACACTCATTTAAGGATGTATATATAAAATTATTTAATAATCAGCAAAGTAAAAATATTTCCTCAGATGTTTCATTTATAAGCGTCGTGGGGTTTTGGGGTTTTGGGGTTTTGGGGTTTTGGGGTTTTGGGG